GGTTTTTAATCTCAGGATAATGGAGGAAGACCCTCAATGAGATGGATTGACAGAGTGACAGCCACAATGGGCATAAACACAGCAGAGATTATGAGAATGATGCCAGATTGGGCATGGTTTTATTCTGTTGTGCTCTGAGGGTCACATAAGGTCTATAGGGTCACTCTGAGTCAACACCAACTTGATGGCATCTAACAACAAAAATGTTAATAAGGAATCCTGGTGGCTTAGTGTATAATAGGAGCTGTTTGAATCCACCAGCTGTTCCTCAGGAGAAAAATGGCCAGTTTAATCTCATAAAGATTTCTGACCTCAGAAACCCCCAAAAAAACCCACTGTGAGACTCAACTTGACAACAGTGAGTTTGTGTGTATTTTTTTAATTTTTTTTAAAATAACCAACTATTTTATATTTATTTGCATACAAAATTTATATACATTATGCTTCACACTTTCCCCCACTCATATTGTGTTTAATATAATAATTAATATGTTCTTCAGGCCAGATTGTTGTTGTTATGCACCATTGAGTCAAGTAGGACTCATAGCGACTCTGTGAACAACAGATCTGAATCCTGTCCTATCCTGTGCCAGCCTCATCATCTCTGACATACTTGAGCCCACTGCTGGCATGGGCAGGGGTATCTTTGAGTCACAGACTTACAAGGAGGTGTGACTGAAGTCACATCTTGCTTTTGGCATTTTAATCTTACTAGAGAAAAAAGAGAAGACAGTGGAGAAAAGTATAAAAACATACAAACAAAAAAAACCCCAAATAAAAAAATAAAGAACCAGGATGCAAGTGCATACTTTGTATCCAGGGTCCCTGTGCTGAGAACCTCCAAGATAAAGGAAGATAGCTGCCAAGACACATGGAAGTCTCCAAAGAATGCCAGGCTCCAGATGTTGAAAAGAGACAAGGACCTTCCTCCAGAGCAGAAGGAAAGACAGTGTCTTTCCCTAGAGCTAGGGCCCTGAAATCAGACTTCCTATCTCCTAGTTCTGCTATAGCCATTCACTTGTGGTGTTTCTATTACAGACTTTGGATACTAAGGCAGCACCAATACTCAGTCTGAGCTGAAGAAGACTTTTTATAGTTTTTTGCCCTACTTTTACTGTGGATATTCATACATTTCACAGCAGAAATGTGAGTGCCTTTGATCATATAAGACTGCTCCAGACCCCATGGGGGATGTTACATAATATATGGTCCACATACCATAATGCCTTTATAAAATGGTAAGATTTCCGAATTCCAAATCACATCTGGTAAGAGATCAGGAACTGCTACTCAAAGTTAACATTTGGCAGTTGTATCTTAAAGAGTTCTTCTCAGTAACCTCTCAGCCACCTTTCACCTTGTGGTCTTTGGGACTATTACCATTGTGCCACCTTCTGCCTTTAAGAATCCTTCCTTCTCATTCATTCCCTGCAGAAGCCCAGAAGCCTCCTTGGGGTGACCTAGGGTTCTTATCCATTGTATCAAACGTTTAGCAATAAAAGATCCAGAAATCAATTAACGAAAATTTCCTTCAGGTGCCATAGAAGGGGACTGTCCTCTAAGGAGAGCTGGGCAATCAACCATACTCTCTTCCTTGACTGGACAAGAACTTCAGCCTATCACTGGGATGGACAACCCAGAGAGAGAGTGATGCTGAGCCTCAAACCCTTGGGCAGCTGGGGAGGGGTACCAGAACAGAAGCCCCAGGATTTCCACTCTCTGGTCTTAACTTTGGCATGTAATTTGATGAAACCCCATTGCTCCATTTATGCTCACACTTTTACCATGTAAAAACCAATAGCCTATTACATTTTTTTTTCCTTACTGAGGGGTTGTGAGGGTAGGATCCAATTTGAGATGTAGAGGCTGATGGGCAACTCCAGGCCGTGTGGGATCACGGAGTAACATCAGAAGAAATAGATGAGCAACGATGAATGAATTAAAAGCCAACTTTTCTGTAAACTTTTGTTAATATCACAATTAAAATTAAAAAAAAATAGATAAGTAGAGTTAGTGTTAGAGGGGAGTGTACCTGTGTGCATAGTGAAAGAGAAAGACAGACAAAAAAACCATGAAAAGACAAAACAGAGAGGGAGAAACAAAGATGGAGACCAAGAGAGGTGTTGTTTTTCTTTTTAAGAAATAGCTCTCAAATTTGATCCACGTTTATTTCAGCAAGTCTGTTTCTGAAACAGACCCACTGAATTGCCATTTTTAAAAAAATGGCATTTTTAAGAAAAGACTTCCCAGCCTCACTGAAACAGAACCTGTCAAACCTGCAAGCGTCATTTTAGAGAGAGCTTTTTAACTAACCAGGCCATGATCATCTTAAGAGTGAGATCTAAGATATGGAAAGAAAGCAAACAAGAGGATCTAAGTTTATGTTTAACCGGACCCCCAAATCTTCCTGAAGACAGAGGCGGAAAGTAAGAACTTCCCCATCAAAGGCCACTGTCTCCCATCCCTGACACCCTTGGAAGCAATGCGTCTCATCTGAGACCTCTTCCCAGGGGTATTGGTTTTGACAACACTGATTATAAATTTCCAGAGAATGTATCAGTAGGGACAATGGGCATCACCAACCCTGCTGCTGAGGAGGCAGGAAAGAGGAGGACAAGCTGTCCCACTGCCCCTTTGCAGGACAGTGCTGGACCCCAGGTGAGCTGTACTCCTGCCTGGCATGGGAAGTCCTTCCATATTGCAGCATGAAGCACTAGGTTGCCCTTCCCAGCAGGAGCCCAAGCCAAGCCACATGACCTTGGTTCTGTGTGCCTGAGGCTGCCACACACTGCCCTGGTGCAGGTGATCCCAGACCGCTGTCTTCTGCCAAAAAGGCCTGAAGCTTGACGGGTTAGGTGGCAAGATAGTGCTTACAGGGTGTGGGGAGCTACTAACTGGCTCAACCAACATAACCACAAAGGCAGGAAAAGGGTAGTGGGTGCATGGTTGTCCTTTCTTTCAAGCCTTCCTGGCAAGTAGGGCTAGAAGTATAGTACCAAGGAGAGCCTCAAAAATCTACCTCAAAGCTTAGGAAAAATGACTAGCCCCTGTTCTCTGCTCATGACTTCAGCCAGGGCCTTCTGGTGAGAGTGGAGGAGGTGGCAGCCATCGCCTGCTGCAGTCCTGCCCACTGCCCTTCCAGAGCTAGGAAGGCCAGCACCCACCTGGGTGGATATAGAGGAGGGACACTTTTTGAGATATTATTCAGGTCAAAGATTTAACTCCTCCCGTCAGCAGGATTTCTGACCTGGAGTTCATGTCTACTTCCATTTTTATCTCTTTGATCTCTGTTTACTCACTGTCATTCTGAACTTACTCACAGCTGACTCTTCATTGGGTTTTCAAGATTATAAATTGCTTGAGAGGCAATTGTCCTTCATTCTCCTGCTGGTGGATTTGAACTGCCAAAGAGCAAAGCATTTGGGTTACACCGTAACTCCCTGTGGACTACACTACCAACATTGCTACTTTCTGAAGGTTTGGTTTATTGCTCTTTTCCAGCTTAAGATAGAATCAATGACCTTCAGCCTTTCTTCTTTTCTAATCTATGTTATAAATTTCCCTCAAAGCACTGATTTGGCTGCCTCCTACAAGACTGATACATTTTTATGGCTTTCTGTTATGGCATCTATGTTCCATTTTCCCTGATAAAATATTCTGATTAAGCCAGAATTCCATTCTTATAGAAAAAAGTTTTATTTCACATTTCTAGAACTATTTACTGTGTATTCTCTGTAACAGGAATTAAAAGAATTAAGCTCCTGGGGTGTTTAGGGCAGAAACAGTAATTAAATCCAACAGAAAAGGGTCACAAAGAACAGTTTAATGACTCTCTTGTTTCTGTTATGCATTTTCAACTGGAAAAAAAAAGAAAAAAAAGAATTCCTAAAAAAAAAACCAAAAAACCACCAAACCAAAAATTTCCAACGCCTAAGGAAAAAACCCTTTTTTTAAGGGCATTTTAAAGTTAACAGCAAATCTGCCACCACTGCATTACACTTAATTAGGGGCATAAAACAGAAGCCATCTGCATGGATCAGAGCTCAACTTAGTACATTTATTTCACATCATTGTGGTCACTTTTACAGCTGCTTAGACTTATTTTTAATCACATTACTGTTCACAGAATTCACAGAATTCATTAACAAGCTAGTATTTTACATCTGAGGGTTTTCAGTAGCACAGCAAAATAGAAAAGAGGCTCACAACATGCTCGTGTGTGGAATCCCGATTTGATTATGTTAAGGGATGCCTAGAACATTATTGCTTTATTAGTCCTATTTTCAGAATCCAATAAATTATTCCAGGAAACTCTCCACCATGTGGTCTTTGTCCTGTGACTGTTCTGGCGCACTGGGGTGACGAATGGGACATGTGGGTGCTGGGGTCACCAATGCTTCTGCAGCTCTGAGGGCTGGGTGAGGGGCTCACTGATGGTTCCCACAACTTGCCATCTTCCTCCCTGGTCCCACAACTGAGGAGCTGCATTCACATGTCAACAAAGCTGAAATTAGACACAGCTGAGAGGGGCCTGCACTGATGCTCCTGGAACAGTCACTGACTTGGGCCGGGGTGGGGAGGGGTGGATTACTGAAGCAACAGACACCTCAGGGAGCAGCCTGTCAAGACAGTGGAAAAGGACAAGGTTCTTGATGGCTGTGGCCCAAGAGGTGGCTCTGCATGAGCTTGTCTGTGACTGGAACTTGAAGACGTCTCAGTAGAATTTTATGGCTGCATTTTCTTTATCTGTCTGATAGAAGTTTCTGTTTATGGGAAAAAAACCCCAACCCAACCCCAAAACCAAAACACCAGAACATCATTTTGGTGATTTAATGGGGCCCCTGAAGCTCTGTAGGGCTGTCGGTGCTGGGGGGGGGGAGCCGCATCTTCAGGGCTGTGGGTGCTGCGACATGGGGCAGGATCCCTGAGGAGTGGTGGTCACATCAGACTCTGGAGAGGGGAGCAGGTGGTGGGCGCGGGGTGCAGGCTGCCGACAGGGCTCAGTCTAGCTTTTTGTTGTTGTCTGTGTTGTGCACAGAAGCTAGGAAGTCGATGACGAGCTTGGCTGTCTTCCTGGGTCTCTCCATCACCACCGAGTGCCCACAGTTTTCCAGAAGTTCCACTTGGCAGTTGGCGATTGACTTGGCCAGTATGTCTGCTCCCGACACATCGAGCACCTACAGGACGAGAGAGGACACGGAATGACACACAGAGATTCAGGCATCTAAGTGTGCGCTGTGGACAGGACCTCTGCAGAGGCCTGTCTGGTGAATTGTGGGATCAGGTCATGTCAAGGTAGGGGCTTGGGGTTCTCTAAGGGACGTGACTGGCACACCTTGTGGTTGACAACAACACTGAGGTGAAATGATGCATAGTCACTGACTGGAGGGAGGTTATGGTCACAGTGGGGAGACAGGACAACAGACAAATGCAGCAGTGTGTAAGGAGGGGAGGCTGAGGGCTGAGTGCACAGGGAGGGCAGGGAACACGGGAGACATCTTTCCTTGGTCCTCAGAAAGTATGAATGGAGGAGGACCAAGGGAGACAACACGGCCCCGGGTGTAAGGTCCTGGCTAGTGCAGGGGACAGCAAGTAGCTTATGTGGGTCAGACCCAGAGAGGTACGGACAGAGAGGAGGGGACGGGCTACTGCAGGCAGCTGTGGCCATGCCTAGACCTGAGGAAGGTGGGAGCTGTGACGCTGTGTTAAGAAGATTGGCAGGATCAGACTAAGCCAAGAGAATGTACCCCGTGGCTGGAGCAGGAGGGAGACCATGAGCCCACAACTGTGAGACAGGCACAAGAGGCCAGAAGTGAACTCAATTATCACATTGATGTCACACTGTGATGGCCCTCTGGGGGTCAGTGTAACTCCCAGCACCAAAGTAGGTACATTAACAGGGAATGCTTTTCCAACATGAAACCCAGCCTCCACTCTTCAAGGGCTGACTCTCTGGAAACAACTCATTCAAATGCCTTTTCATTGCACTATCCCGAAGGCATGTGTTCAAGGCCACCAGCTGCTTTGCAGGAGAAAGATGGGCAATCTCCTCCCATGTGATTAACTGCCTATGAAAACTGGCCAGAGGGTCAGCTACGGGTCGGTTCTGACTCGATGATACACCACCACCATCACCACCAACACCACAACAACAACTCCTGCTATCCCTCTAGTCCAACACCATTTGTCTCCAAACTGCTGCTATTCTGTGGGGTTGGATTTGCAGCCAATCGCATTCTGTATAGCAATGCAAAATCCCTAACAACTCAAAACCTTTCTCTTTGTGATCTTCAGTCTCACTTTCTGCACAACTCCAGGGGCAAGATTCGCACAGACGACAAAGCACACAGCTCCCTCTGTGGTCACTCAGCACAGAGGTCAGCCTACAGGGGCTCAGGGGAGAGAGAGGATGAACGGAGCCCTGCAGGGTGGCGTCCTTGACACCAAATGTTGATGATATCAGGGACAGAGCTGGCAGCTTGGGAAGCAAAAGGCCATGAAATGAAGTCCAATCCCACATCTCCTGAGGTTTCTGCTGTTTGGGCTTTCCTTGGGGGCTGCCCACAGAATCCACAAGGATCTGGTCACACTAGAGCAGCTCTGCAGAGGATTAGGCTGTTTCTCTGCAATGAAATGGACTTGAGAGTGTTTGAGGGAATCTAGACCATTGGCTTAGGCCAGTTAACATGGGAAGAGGACATCATGTAGGTCATGTGAATGCTTGCTCTCTGTATATGTGTGTGTATGTGTATGTGTATGTATATATATATATGAAAAGGTCAGCTATGAGCAATTTCAACCCAACAGAATATAACATAATGTAACATAACATTATCTATCTATCTATCATCTATCTATCTATCTATCTATCTATCTATCTATCTATCTATCTATCTATCTATCTAAGTGGTTAAAGACTACTCTTATGAATATGCGCTCATTTGAACCCCAGGGTAACCTTACAGTCTTGTGGGAAGCTGGGTGACTTGTTCAAGGGCCAAGACTGGACTGGAAACCTAGACTTTTGGTCGCTAAGTCTATTAAAGCTCTTACCACTCTATTGTCCCTGCTGGAAGACAGGTTCTCATCTGTCCCTGCTGGTCCTTGAGAGCCCCAGATCACCTTTGGGATTTTGATAATGAAGAAAAGCCTTCCTTGTTCGGACACTGATTTCTGACTGAGTAACTCCCGGCTGGCCTGGCCTGGCCTGGGTCAGCCTTCTCTGACTCAGCTGCACACAAAGCGTCTTTCAGTCCTTTGGCCACTGCAGAAGGGACCAAATGAGGCCGCTCTCCGTTCTGGGTCCACGGCTCTGCTCTGGACAGCCTTGGCCAGCTCGGAGCTGTCTGTATGCTGAGGTTGATTCCTCTGCTCCCCGTGGACACGCAGGGCCCAGGCCTGAGGTCTCTGCCTGTGGGGCTGCCCCACACAGTGAGGGGTGTCTATGGTCCCACCTAACTTCCCATCTGTGCTTTAATGTGGAGCCTGCCCAGGTGTGGATCACAAGGGCAGTGTCCACCTTGGAGTCCTTCGGGGAATCGTCTCAGAGATAGCACTCCTTTAACTTCCTTTTCTTGCAATGTTTAATAGCACAAGATTCCTGGTCACCCTACAGCAGAGACCATCGTTCTGTTTGCCTGCGGGCCTTACAAAGGCTTCATGTCTCCCAGAGGCACATGGTTCAAATCCACCAGATGCTCTGCTGGGGAAGGAGGGACAATCCCCTCCTGTACCAGTCAGATCTGATTTGACGGTACACTCAAATAAAATTAAAAAAAAAGGCTTCATGTCTCACTGCCTCCTCTTGCTTTCAAATTCCAGGAAGAATTGAGAGTCAGATGTGAATTCTAAGGAACAGCTGCAAACGAAGGTGCTACTTGGAGTACAGATCAGGATCCCCCCCTGGAGGACTTGTTACATTTTAAAATGTGTGCGCCCTTTGATGCACGTCTAGGAATTTGTAATTCAGATGTGCTCCGACTCCAAAAACACATTGCCTATGAGTTGGAATCAACACATAGCTGACCCTCCAGCAGGTTTCGGAGGCTGTAAATTGCAGGACAGGTTGTTCTTCTTTCTCCTTCAGAGTCCACAGGGGATTCCAACTGCCAAAGAGGCTTGGCCTTTGGGCTAACAGCACAACCCCTTATAGACTATTATTCACCAGAGCGGGATGTACTTATTCACTACATAAGAACATGCATCTAACAACTCCTCTGTAGCACAAATAGCAAAATTATTAGGAAATAAGCTGAATGAATACTAATAAGACACTGTTGTTGTGTACCATCTAGTTAGAACTGACCCATCACTGACCCTACAGTGGGTTTTCAGAGGCAGTAAACTGCACCGAAGGAAACTTTCTCTCATGCAAGACACTAGATAAATAAGTTAGAGCAAATGGCTACCATGCTCAGACGCGAGTCAAAACACTGGAGCTTTGAGCCCACTGAGAATCACCTCAAAGGACAGCCTCAACGATCTAATTCCAAAGCCCAAGCCACTGCAAACACTGAGGAACATAGGCACTATTATACATCAGGAAGGGGTAGGATAGAAGGATTAGTGGAAATGAGCCCTGCAGAAAGGAAGTGGGAAAAGTGCAGTCATGGTGTGGGTAGTGTTATAAAATGAAATATACAGGAATGATTGAAAGAAAAACCAACAAGCTTTGTAAATTTTCACTCAGATCATAAGGAAAAAAAGAATGGAGTCAGTGATTCAGGTTGATGCCAGTGTTGTAAGTAAAAGTTCATCTGGAATATCTGTGCTGATTCACTTCTGTCTCTGGTTGGTTTTGTTCCACAGGTGGCAGAGACAAGCACTGATAGAGACTCTATAACCCAAAAACCCAAAAATACTTTCTGTCTGGTCCTTCACACAAAAAGGAGTGCAAACCCATGGCTTAGAAAATGCAAGCACATATACATGTACATGTACATAAACATTCAAGAACATACACAGAAGGGAGTAAAGCTGACTCAAGGAAGTGGGACTTGAGAGCTGGAACGTGAACGAGACCTACTTTCCATTATATACTTTTCTGTACTCTTTGAACTTCCTTTTTCTTTTCCCCCTTTGCACTGTGAAAAAAATAATCTTCAAAAACAAACTAAAATTGCTTCTCGTTTTCAAAGACGAACGTTATGGCTATCCGCCCACAGCACTAAGCTCTCTGTAAACTCAGGGGCCTGCTACCTCTTCCTGATCATAGAAGCGAGTCAGCAAGTCTCCATTTAGAAACAAAAAAGTCTTCTTTCCTTCCTGGATCTTCTTCCTGAGAGGCCTGGGACACAGCAAAGGCAATAATGGGCCAGGTCACATACCTGGTCCTGTTTTCCCCAGATGACCTGTGTTGGGACTTTGATCTTGCTCATGTTCCGATGGAGGGAATATCTTGACTTCTCATTGATGATTTCCATAAACACTTTTCAGAGAAGGAAAACCAAGTCAGCATAACCTGGGCTGTGCCAATGATCACCACCCCAGACATAAGGCCCAAGTCCAGGCCATGGTTTTCTCTCTCCCAGGACCCAGGAAAACATCCAGAGGCTTAGAGATTTAAGAAATAAAAGCCAACCCGCCAGGGAGCAACACCCTTAACCAACTCAAAACGCAAAGTGGGGCTACTTACGCTTCCGGTAGAAGCCATTGTGAGGGATGCGGACATCGACAAGGCCCTGCAGGATCTGAGAAGGAACAATTCAAGGTTAGGAAGCAAGGGAAGACCCCACTCCTCAGTCCTCCCACAGCTCTGAACAAGGAAGGGAAAGAAAGCCAGTAGTTTATTGGGCTGTTTAGGCTTTTGGGACCTGTTGCTGTGTGCTGTTGAATGGGAACCAACATGAAGCTGACCCTCCCGTGAGTTTTCAGAGGCAGTAAATCAGATGGGAGGCTACTACATATCTTTCTTCTATGGAGCAGCTGGTGGATTTGAACTGTGTGCTTTTGGATTGGCAGTGCCATTTCTCACCACTAGGCCACCTGAGGCTCTAGCCCTCCAGACTGCTATGGTGCATTATCTTAGAGTCCCTCTGGTGTACAGTTAATATGCTCAGCTGCTAACCTAAACATTAGAGGTTTCACCTCAGCCAGAGACGCTCAAAAGAAAAGTCTGGTGATCTATTTCCCAAAAGTCCTCCACTGAAGACTGAGTACATCCTGTTCTGACAGGCACGTGGTCACCACAAATCAGTGGAAACTCAACAGCAATCATTACTGCTAATTATACAACATAAAGCTGGGTTCCTAAAATGCCTGTTCCCTTTCTTCTCCCCCACCTTTTTTTTAAATTTAAGAAACCTGAATAATATTGTGAAGCCCAAGGTCTCCCTACAGCATGTAGTAAACCACTGAGCTGGCCTAATTCGTAACTTTATCTTATAAAACCTTCTGCTTAGCTAAAAACAAAGGTGCTCTGGTGGTGTAGTGGGTGAGGAGTTGTGCTGCTAATCCCAAGGCGTTGGAATCCACCAGCTGCTCTGTGGAACGATGGGCCGTCTGCTCCCTTGTGATTTACAGCCTCTGAAAACCCACTAGCAGGTCAGCTCTGAGTCGTTCCAACTAAATCGCAATGAGTTTGACAGTTTTTTCTGAGACAAAGGCAACCTATATGAAAATAATATCAAGTCATTATTCAATAATATCCAAATTCAGAACAAAGTCTATTAAAAATAGAAAAGAAGTCACTGGAGGCCAAAGGCCGCTGAAAACGATGAAGAAATTAACTGCTGCAAACACTGTGGAAGGACTTTGACACGGTCTCTGCCCTCTCTGCTAAGGCTGGTTAGGGGTGCAGCCAACAGCCCTGCAGGGACAGGCCAGATTTCCTGGGGCTGCAGCCTGTGCCAAGAGCCCCTGGACTCTGAGAGGCAACGATGGCCTGAAGGGACATGGTTTTTCTCTTCCTCCTTCTTCAGGATTCTAGAAATAGATTGCAGGGTCCACATGCACGTGCAAACATCAGTCGCTCATCGACCTGGGAGTAGAGCCAATCTCTTTAAAGGTGCTCGAGCAGGCGTGAGTTCTGCCCACTGACTGAAGTGGAGCAAGCTTCCCTATGGCTGCTTTTGACTAAACCAAACCCCTGGAGTATCCTTAAAATGACTAGTCTGGAAGTAGACTCGAGAAGTGAGACCAGCAGCAAGTTGTATTTGATTCTTCTTGGCATCATCTTTTCTCATTCACTCACCCATTCGTTTACTCACCTCCACATACTGCCTCCCTGAATAATACTTACAGGTTCCTGCATCTTCCCATGTACCCATTCATTTATCCTCCACCCTGCATTGCTTATATATTTGCCCATCAACTCACATCCCTCTCTCCACCCTTTCATCCACCTCATATCTCTGAATCATATAGTCGTGCACGTGGATCAGCTACTCATCTAACCTGCAAGTACATCCCCATTCATTACCCATCCCCGCATTACTCAGGTCTCCTGCTCATGCAATGATTTTTCCCATCTTTCTGTTCACTTACTATCTATCCATCCATTGATTGTGCCAACTATCCACTCATCCACCTACTTATCTATCCATTCAATACATTGAGACTACTTCATTCAAGCAATGTGCAAGCTACAGCTGACTTCTAATCGACCCTTAAATAGATTTTCAGAGGCAGTAAGCTGCACGGGAGAAGACTGTCCATCCTTCTCCTACAGAGCACCTGGCAGATCTGAACTGTAGATCTTTGCATTGGCAGTGCAACTGGTGACCACTAAGCCACCAGAGCTCATACAGGGATAGAACGTCCATGAAGACAAAGCCCTTGATCTTCCAGAGCTTAGAATGGAGGACACAGACAAGCAAAGGCTTAATCACACGTAACATGACACTGGGCAAGTCCTCTAGGGCATCTTCTCTCCTTGGTGGAAACACCGCTACTCATTCTGTCAGTGGTTCCATAAAACTCACATTAGTTTGGTTTTTGCATTTTCAGAAGGGACTATAGCCAGGAGCAATTTACCACTAAGAGGAGAAGATATTAAGGATAGATAATAAAACTGTCCATCAATTTTGCGACATTAGGAAGGAGTGATGGTTAAAAAATTCCTCCCCACACTTTGTGTTCAGGAGAACGGCTTGCTATGAGTAAGCATCCTTCCCACAGGACATAGATAATAAGACTCACAGGTGTCCCCTTGCTTGCTTCTGGACAAGTTCAGGCACAAACCATCTAAATTCCCATTTGTTCCTCATAAATGAATGAACTGCTTGTTCCCAATGACCAAGCAGAAACAAAATGCTTGTTTATCAAACTCTGGTTAAGCTGCATGTTATACCTCAAGGCTTGCACTCTGGTCCACCTTCACCCTTCAAGGTCCCCTTTTGAAGAAGAGGCTGGTCCCAGATCTACAGTAAGGTCATGAAAGCTGGAATTCGATAAAACTGCCCAGTTTTCCTGGTTCTCATGAGTTTCCCTGTCTAGAACAGTGTGCACTTTGACCACTTTTCTATCTCTCCTCTTTTTGCAAAATATTTGTGTTTTCCTTCCCTGACAAGTTTCCACCTTTTACAGGTTTTATGTTGCACTGTGATTCATTCACTACCTAATGGATCAACCTCTCATGCAACCGAAGGTCTTCTAGCTGTACTTGCCCTCAATCGCTGTTGTTGTTGTAATGTGCTATCGAGTCGCTTGCAACTCATAGTCAGCCTCTGTACAACAGCTCTGAAACCTGTTCTATTGTCGCTGATGCACCCAAGCCCCTTACTTCAGTCACTGATCCAATCCAACTCATCCAGGGTCTTCCTCTCTTGTGCTGTCCCTCAACCCTTCCAAGAATGATGTCCCTTTCCAAGGATTGGCTCCTCCATACAACATACCCAAAGTATGTCAGATGAAGCTTCAAATTTCTTACTTCTAAGGAGTAGCCTGGTTTCACCCTCTGCAGGATGAAACTGTTTGTTCCCCTAGCTGTCCATGGTATATTCAATACTCTTCTCCTGCAACAAAGCTCAAAGACAGCAATTTTTCTTCTATCATGCTTAGTCATTGTGCAGCTCTCTGATGCATAGCAAGTAATTGTGAAGATCATAGCCTGAGTCAGGTGCACCTTAGTCTCTAGACTGACATTGTTGCTCTTTCTCTACAAAGAAAACTATTTTACCACAACTCTTGGAAATCTTGTCAGTATTCTTTCTATTAATACCTGTCACCCTCACCACTGCTACAACAGTTTTTCTTTCTAGATTAAGCTTCTTCCTATGAGACTGTGGATAATGATTCTGTTTTTTAATGACACCGAAGACTTTGATTCTGGGTGCTTCCTCCCTGGGCTTCCTCAGAGACAGGACACACTCATGAATGGGCTGCGTTTCCAGCTTCTGAACAAATAGTCCATTCTCTCAACTCATGGAAAGACCCAGCCCACACCCTGAAGGAGAACCTAATTCCTGCTACAACAGCAATGGCCACATAAAAACACCTGCTGAGGGTCCATTCACATCCACGGTGCCCTCGGAGCATCAGGGAAAAACTATACTCAGGGTTATCCTGACTCTGACCCTTTGGATGCAGATCACCAGGCCTTCTTTCTGAGGCACCTCTGGGTGGATTTAAACCACTAACTACTAGGTTAGTAGCTAAGCTCTTCACTATTCGTGTCACCCTGGGAGCCTTCATTCCTGCAATGTTGTTGTATGCCACCAGGCCGATTCTGACTCAAGGAGATCCTAACAGAAAAAGCTGGGGTTTTTTAAAGAATCAGAGTGGCTTCTTGCAGAGTGACTGGTGGGTTCAAACTGCAGGCCTTTCAGTGAGAAGCTGAGCCTATAACCTCTGCATTACAAGCACTCTTTAGTTTTATAATAAACTCACTGCCTTTGAGATGATTCTTACTCATGGTGATTCTCCATCGGGGACCCAAGGCTGTAATCACAATGGAATGTCCCTCCCTAAAGACTCTGTTATAAGACCGCTCCCCTATAAGTTCACAGTGTGACTTTCCCATTCCAGAATGAGGAAGCTCACGCGGGGATTCCCCTATCCCCCCCTTCTCTGATTCCGTCCTTAAGTCTGCTAACTTAACAATTATGCCACGGTTGTTGTTTTTATGTACTGTAGAGTCAGAACTGACCCACAGCTGACTCTTGGGTGCAGTTGGTTTGGTTTTTTTTTTTTTTATTTGTGTGTGTGTGTATGTGTGTACTGTTAAATCGGATCTGACTAGTACAGGAGGAGATTGTCTCTCCTTCTCCAGCAGAGCATCTGGTGGATTTGAACCGCTCTCCTCTGGCACTGCAGTGCAGCTTCTTGCCACTAGGCCACCAGAGCTCACCTCTGGTGGGTTTTTATAGGTAGTTAATCACATGGGAGGAAACTGCCCATTCTTCTCCTGCAGAGCAGCTGGCGGCCTCGAACCAAGTGCCTTTGGGATTGCATTGCAGCTTCTTGCCACTAGCCACAGAGTTCATTGTACTATTAGGCTTCCTCAGATAACTTGGTATAATGAGACCTCAGCTATAGAATCCTTTTGTTCATCTTTGCATACACTTTGGCCAGATGACCTTATTCAGACTCATGACCTTCAGTATCTCTGCTAATGCCTCTATCTCTGTCCAGGACAAACAACTCTCAGCTCCACTGGCACATGTGACTACTTACTTGGTGCCTAAGCTTGGAGATCTCACAGATAATTTTACTTTAGCATGCCCAATACAGAGGTCTTGCTTTGTCCCTCAAACTCATCCTTCTAGCTTTCCCTTTAGTCTTCATCACCCTGCTTAATCAAGTACCTGAAATCATCAGAGACTCCACACACTCTTCTTCTACTCTTCTACTTCCAACATGCCTGTAAGTCTGCCCAGACTGTTTCCTTCTCTGGTCTCCACTACCTCTACCCTCATCTAAGTCACCATCTACTCCAAGCCTCTGCAGGATCGTAGTGTATTCCTTGGCTTATAATTTTGCTGTATGTAGTCCTTCAGGGGTTCTTAGAAAAACCTCAGACATCTTCTCATAATGTACAAGGCCCTATCTGATCTGGGCCAGTGCTTCTCCAAGTGGTTCTATCTGAGACCTCCACCAATGACTGTCATACAAACACTAAGTATTAACTTTCATTCTCTCTCAAGCACACAGTCATCCCAAGCCTAATACATAATAAGGCCTAATGCATCACTCTGACAGCTAATGGGAAGAGTGCTTGTATGTATTCTTGTATTTTAATTTTTTTCTTTCTACTGATGCTTAATATGATAAACTATCAACTACATCTATTGATACAAACAAAAGCTCTTTGGAGGTCTGTAATAATGTTTATGAATGTTAAAAAAGAAAAATCCCAAAACAGGAATAACGAGAACCTCTGGCCTAGCCTCTGCCTCCCTTTCCAGCCCCATCTCAACCCACTCTCTCTGTCCCCTCCAAGGCTCCAGATACCCGACCTCCTCACAGTATCCTGATCCTGCCTATGTTTTTTCCACTGCTATACATGCTGTCTCCTCAAAGAGGCTTCTCAGGATTTTTCATTGTTTCTTTGTTTTCAATCACCAGCCCTTAATTCCCTCACTAAAACTTATTACAAAAAGATTTCTTTACCAGTTAATTGTCTGCCTCCCCCACTGAACTGACTTTTCAGGGATCGTCTCTTGTCATGCTTTCACCCCTGTGTCCACTCTCTGGGCAAGTGAATTGAGAACAGGAAGGAGCGGCCAATGAGTTGATGAAGGAGAGAATGAACACAGGATGTTGGTTCTTGACACCTGAGCCAGGCTGACTGGCTGGTGGCTGAGGGCAGGTGTCTAGCTGCCGAGACCATGTTACCTGCTGGGGCACCTTGAAGCGGACATAGGAGCAGAGCTGAAGCATTTCGCCCATCTCTTCTGGGGTGTTCGGGATCAAAGGAATTTTCTCTACATCAGCTGTGCCCTCTAGCTCTTTAAGCCGTTGTACAAACCGGTTATCAGTGGCATACTCCAGGCCTGTGGGATTCAAGGCGAAACAGCTTGGCAACACATCTGTCATTTACGTACATTCCCATTTACGTGAGGAACTTCCAAGATCTGCCCAGAGCTAACAGATTTCAGGTTTCTTTCACCAGCAGATTACTTCCCTCCAACACCAGATTTTTGTTTTAAATGAAACTTTATCTTGAACTCAATATTAAAGGCACATGCTGAGAAATACACAAGGGGAAAAATCCTTCAGGATGTCTTAAAGCCTAGTCACTCAAACCGTGGTCTGTGGACCAGCAATACTGGCGTCATGTGGGAGCCCACAAGGCTCAGGATCAGCCCCTCCCTATGAGTCTAGAAGCAGAGTCTGCATCTGAGCACATTGGCAGAGGATTCCTGTGCGTGTTAGGGCCTCAGAAGTACTTGTCCAGACAACAAGAAATTGGGTGGTGTGACAGTTACACACTTTGCTGCTAACTGAAAAGGTGACAATGCAAATCTCTGGCTTCTATGTGGCTCCATGTGAAAAAGATGTGGCAACCTGATCCCATAGAGATTATAGCTAAGAATACGCTACTTGGTCACAAGGGGCCACCAAGAGGCAAAACTGACTCCACAGCACACACAGCAATCAATTTGCTTGAGCCAATTTTATATCTGCGTCTGTGAGAGATAAGATTAAAATGACATGAAAATAGATCTAAATAAACTGAGACGAGAATGAGGGGGGAAAGGAGGAATCACTAGAGTGATTTATTACTTCTTCCTTTCGGGTTAAGACACAGAGATATCTCATAAACCGTCCCCACGCCAGGGCAGGAGAGCAGCAGCGTCAACGCAGCTCCTTTCGAGAGAGCAGCAGCCTCAACGCAAGCCCCTTTCCCCGGCTTCAGTCAACTGCTGAGTATGAGTCTCTTTGAGACTGACTGTTACTTCTTATCACACCAGAGCATGGAATGGATGGTCCATGGAAGGTGATGTTATCTTCCATGAAGGAGTAGAAAACCATTCTCACTTCTAGAACTGAGTATATTTCTAGGTGTCAAACTTGGTCCCAGAGGAAGGGAGATTTTAGAAGGAAAGGTAACGGCGTCAAGAATACTGGCTACACTCTAAATAAAGACCTCACTACTGAGAGAGTATACAGTAAAGGATGAACCAGTGAATGCAAACAGTAACATTTTTATTTTTATAAAATAAAAATATAATAAAATTTTTATTTACAAAGAAAAGAATACTGGCTACATTGCAGAAAAGAAAAAAAAAATCCAAATTTGATATATCTGTATCTAACAAGCCCTTTTAATCTAATGTGGGGTATTACATATGGCTTCCCCATAGCATGGGGGAATGATATGATCTACTTGATTTTTTAAAATAATCCTAAGTAAAATATAATTGGGTACCCTAGACTGGATACTGGAACATAAACATTCCTCTGGGGGTGGCGGACGGAAATTCATGACATCTAACCTGGAGTTAGGTTAACACGATGAACAAGCACAGCTATCACCCGCTTTGTTATGTTTGCTTTATGCCACTTCGCTTGTGTGAAAAACCTACATTAGTATCTGATTTTGTCCAAAATCCAAGGACTCATTTAGGCAAAAAGCAAAAGATTCAGTTTTGTTTTGCAGCAGATGTTAAAGAGGGCATGCAGACAGACTCTGACCGTTGAGAAGAGAATTGTCATCTCCTGAAACACAATTAGCATCAAGCTGTCATAGCTTTGAAATCAGTCTGTGAACACTAGATGTTAGCGTTCCTTTAAGTTATGTGTTATTCAATATGATTTGGTAGGCTATTTTTTTTGGGTTTTAGGACACTTAAAAAATTTTCCCATACAAATCAATAGTTACTGCTTCATTGTTTCACATCGCTTCAACATGAATGAATGGAAATCCAAAATCTCTATTTAAATAAAATAATTTTTTTTTTTAAAAAAAAAAGGTTTTACGGGGTTCCTCGACTTTGAGATAGCAAATAGCAGGGGACAGCTGTGCTGTTTTCTTAGGTGTGATAAATGTATCAGAGTAACAAAATGTGTTAACAATGGGGGTAACTGGGTGAAGGATATATGGAACTTGGTTCTACCCTTGTAACTTTTCTGTAAATTTACAGTTACTTAAAAAGAAAAGTTTATTTTTCTAAAAAAGTCTAGGTAGAAGTATAAATTTATTTGTACTTTCCCCTTTTTAGATAAAATGTAATTTCACATTTTAGTTGAAATTCAGGTCTAAAATTCTTTTCTGAGCACATGAATACACACCTTTTGAAAGGCTAGTTGGAGAGATGTCCTTTCATAAGTGATTTAAAATGTAATAACCTTCCACAGGGGTTGTTTCTTCAATTCTCAAGATTTATTTTTAAAAGAACTTAGGATTTCAGACACGGCGATTGAGAAAAGGAGAAAATGTCTTTAGGGGCTTGTCTTCAATTTCAATATCCTTTGCAGACCTGAACACTATTAACTTTCAGACTGGCAAAAGGATTTTAAAGGTCATCCTAGTTAGGTTTCAGTAAAAAGCCTAAGTGTTCAGCACATAAGGGTGTTCTAAGGGAGCTGGTGGATAGGAGTCATAAAAGAGGCAGTCAAGGAGAAAGGACTTCAGAAAAGCTCCAGTTTGGGTTCTGTGGTCAGTCTGGGATTGGTTTCTACACTGGCTCCAGCACGAAGGGAATCTCTTTGTTCCTCAATGTTACCACCTATAAAATGGGCATGATAGCTTGATCGTGGTGATAGTTGCACATGTAAGAAGTCACTGAGAGGTACACTTAAAACTTGAGCAATTTATTCTGTAAAACCATACTCCAATAAAACAATAATAAAAGAGGTGGAAAGAGAAAGAGGACTATATTGGGTTTTTCTGACACATAAAACTAAGTTTGAACACTTAGGGGAAAAGTTAATTTAAAAATAAAATTCAACTTTGGATGGCAATTTCTAGAGAGCTTTCATAACTCCTGCTGGTGTGGATAGATGGAACAAAGAAGTTTGCTGATTTAAAAGAAGAAAAAAAAATCTCTGAGTTTTCAGCAAAAAAGAAAAGGGCATAATAGTAGTACCTTTATATCACAGGGTTATTATGAGAATTAACTCTACATATAGAATTACATTCATTAGAACTCAAATGAATGTTATCATCATCATTATATTTTAAAATGCTGATATACTGCAATATATATATAAATACACACACAATTGAATTAATGCTTTGTGCGACAAGGCTGGTCGTAAATTTTTCAAGTCAGTGTGCTCTGATTACTGTCCTGTCGCTATTGTTTGGTTAGGGTTACCACTACAATATTGCTTAAGTCTGAAACACTGGTTGAAGAAATAGCAGTAGCAGACCCTGGCCACTTATTTCTTCAGTGTTCCAGACTCTGCTGTGCACAAGTCCCTCATTGGGATATATTCACCTTGGAACTTACCAGCAGGGCACACGAGAGATAAGCTGCAGATATCCGATGGGTAATAAGCAGCGTACACCCCAGCCACATTGCCACCCATGGAGGTGCCTATCAGATGGAAGGGTTTTTTATTCAGCTTGAGGCATTCTACAAACTAAGGAGAGAAATCAGAGGGAGGCTTGGTCATACAGCTGCAGACAAGGACAACTATAGAGTAGAAAATTCCTGAACCACCTTTCTATGGCGCAAATGAAAAGGGCTATTGTTGACCTCAGTGAGAAAAAAGATGGGCAGTCTTCTCTCTTGTGATTTGCAACCTTGGAAACATGCTGGAAGGTCAGCTATGAGATGGTCCTGACTTGATAGCAAAGACTTTGACCTTGATTATCTAATAAAATAGGGTCTGAAATGACTGGTCCATTTGAAAATGGGTATTTCCATCTGGTACAAGTTATTGAGAGATTATTTTTTAAGAAACAAAGACTCCCAACTTATGAGTCAGGGAACTTTATAAAAGCCAAGGGAGTAAATGTTTTCTACTCTGTGTATCATACAATCTTTACTGCAATTACAATATTGATTCCACTGTTGTATGCCAAAACAGTTGAAGGCAACACACACTTGGGTAAACATGGCTTCACCCCAGCGGAAGCTACTTTACAAAAACAGGTAGCAGGCCAAATTTGGCGCTCAGGCTATAGTCTGCTCACTTCTGCCCTAATTTCAAGCTCTTTCCATTCATCTATCCATCTTCCCAGCCAGCCAGTCATCTTATCAGCCACTTAACTATGTAACAATATTTATTAGATTTTTATTATGTACTAGGAACCATGGCCACACACTGAGAAGACAGCAAAGAGCCAAAGAAATAGAGTTCCTGACCTCATTAAAATACACAGTTTACACATTAAATAAATAGTCTCATCTGGAGAAAATAAAATAATGTCAATCAGAAATTTATAGGCTAATAAATCTGGAAATAGCTTGTGAGTCTCTGTGACCTGGAATGCCCAACTGGAGAAGCTGAAGATGGAAACTCACCCAGGACAACATGCAGACAACACTCTCCACCCTCCCCAACAAGACAGAGGAAAGACTGTCATCATGGCAGCAGAAAAATATACTCCCTTCTCACCAGGAAATGGTCTTAAGAAATCCTAAACTCCTTTTTCAAAGGGCTAAGAAAATGTCCAGACTATTTCTTTCAAACCAGTTGTAACAGGCTTAGAGGAGTATAGTCTGCAATGAGCCCTGGCCCTCCACGGATGACTGCTATTTTGTTTGTAATGGTTTGCAGCCAGAACACACTGAGGACTTCGTGTCCTCTTGCCTGCCCTCCAGACCTGGGCATGCAGTGGATGGAAGGACCTGGTCTGCTGGTTTTGTTGGCACTTTCTGCTTACCTGGTGTATCCTCTTCACTTGCCCGTCTATGGACAAGTCATCCAGAGAGGAGCGAGTGGTCCCTTCATGTCCTGGCATGTCCACGCAGATCAAGTGCAGATTCTTTGGCAGGAACTGAGGACAGACAGGCCCAGAGAATCAGTCTGTGACATGTAGATCATGTCTGCCCTCTTCTAAGGTGATCAGGTCAGCTTAGATATAGAAAAGTCTTTGCCATTTAGAATTCTACCCCATTAACATGTACAGCGAATGAATATTGCCAGGGCCTCATAGGGAACAGGGGCCCTTCTCCTTGTCCACATTTTAATAATATTATTGAATTGACCAATAATAATATTGGTCACTGCCCTGGAACTTGAAGGGATGGTTTGTCTGCCCAGGACCCTGACCAGTACCAACAGGAGCAGAGTTTTCCCTAACCTGTCAGGTCAGCCTGATTCTGGTTTCAGTGACTGGGACTTGTTTGATTTGTTGCATTAAAGTCTGATGTCAGAGGTGATTATTATCATAATATACTTCTTCTCTTTAAGTATGTGCTTTTATCTGAAGTAAGGTCAGGAAACAAGAGGCCAGCTGTCCTCACAGTGATGTTTGGAAATAAGAAGGCATCCTCTTAGCATGGATCACCACTTTGCATCATTTGGGCACAAGTCTGCTTGAGTGGGTAGCCTGGGGGACTCCCCTCTCAAGACCTCTCCCAAGCCTATTCTCTCTTCCTTTTTTTATTATAACTTCTTGTTGTTGTTATGTACTGTTGAGCTGCCTGCAACTCATAGTGACCCTACATACAACAGCCCTAAACACTGCGCTATCTTGTGCCAGTCTCACTGTCTCTGCTACACTTACCCCCATTACCCCAGTCACTGAATCAATCCACCTCATAGAGGGTCTTCCTCTCCTGCACTGTTCCTCCACCCTCCCACCACCTTCCCAAGCATGATGTCCTTCTGCAAGGACTGGTCCCTCCTTGCAACATATCCAAAGTATGTCAGCCGAAGATACAGAATCTTTAGTGTTTATTATTATTGTTATATTTCTGAAGATGTTAAAAATCATGCTATACTTATATAAACATAATAAATGCAAATATTAACATTTCTAAGAGGAGAAAACATGTCTTAGAGAAAATGCAACCAGAATGCTCCTTGGAGGCAAAAGTAACAAAGCTTCATCTCATACTTTGGACATGTTGCTAGTAGAGGCTATTCCTTAGAGAGGGACATCATGTAGAACCGTGGAGGGCTGGTGAAAGAGAAGACCCTCAACTAGATGGATTAACACAGTGACTGCAGCCACCGGGATCAAGTATGGCAGAGATCATGAGGATGCAAATCTATTCTCTTGAACCAGTTACTTTTACCAAGTAAAGCAAGTAAAACTGGACAGAAAGTGAATGATTTTGAAATTATCTCAGAAGGTTACTACATCAAAACTATTTCTCTAAGTGGCTTAAAAAGAAAAGAAAAAGCAGAAGAAAGAAAAACGGGGGAGGGAAAAAAAGTAAAGGAAGAGGAAGAACTTGGGGTACAAAAGAACAAAATTCTGTTTTTAAGAGCCTGATCTTCAAAGTCATGTATCATAGATAGAACTGTATTCCTCCAAAATGTAATGATATATAGAATATAATGATTTATGTATGTAATGGTAAAATGCGGAAGCTATGTAATGATTTTCCATGATGTGATAAACCAAATCATTGTAAAAAGATTAAGGATAGAGTGCAATACCCCTTAATTCCAGCATAGACCTTATCAGCTACAAAGAAAGTTTTCCTAGAGTGTGCTTTTATTTTACAAGAAAAGAGAAGAGGGGAGGGGGAAAGTAAGCCAAGGGAGGAGCATTTCAGCATCAGAGAAAGACTTGCCCGGAGTGGAGTTCATCGTTTTGGAACCAGGTCCCTGCCCTGGGAAGCTCCTCAACAACAGTGAAGGCCAGTACACATGGGGCCCTGCAAGGAACACCTGACCCACACGTGCTGAAGGGAACAAGGACCTTCCACCACATGTAAAACAGGGTCTCCCCCTGGCGCTGTCACTTGAATTTGGACTTCTAGCTTCCTAAACTATAATAAATTCTGTTTGTTAGTGCCATCTAATTGTGATATATTTGTCATAGCAACACTTGAAAACTAAGGTGCCAGGGCAGTTCTGAGATGAAACAGAGTGTTAGAAAACCTCTCTAGGAATTAATTTGTAAGGTACAACAACTTCTGAGGCACAGATTTCTGGTAACATGATGTCCAAGTATAGAGCCTTTGCTGAGGTGACAGACACTCTCTCATGAGAAAGGAATCTCACCTTGACCACATTGAGCCACATATCCTTGTGTGTGGAGAATCCATGGAGCATTAAGATGCTGGGCTTGTGCCCGGGTCTCCCACGGGAGGAGTAACAGAATTGATAGTCCTCATGGTGCACATAGTGGATCTGCATGCCCAAAGTCCTCCGCCAGTACCTAGGGGGGAAAAATACAGTCAGCAAGCTCCAAGGATGTGGCTTCAAGAGAAGACACGGGGCTCTTCTGTAAGCCTTCCTCAGCCCTCTGTTCCATCTAGGTCTCAGGAGATACCTAGAGCTTCACTCCCAAAGGAGCAGTCAATAAATCCATGCCAGAGAGTCCCTTAAGCGAACTATTCTAATAATAACTCTAACTAGGAAGTAGAAAGGCAGCGGGGGTTTTTTAGTATTATCTTTCACATGATATTCGTGTGTTGATATATATTCCTATAGACTTGAGGGGAGCTCTGGTGGCTTAGTGGTAAGGAGCTGCAATGCCAATCCAAGGGCACACAGTTTGAATCCACAAGTTGCTCCGCAGGAGAAAGATGGACCCTCTCCTCCCAGGTGACTTATTGCCTCTGAAAACCTGCTGGGGGGGCGGTCGGCTGTGAGTTGGCTCTGACTCAACAGCACACAACAACAACAACGGACTTGGAGAGTTCCAGCGTTTCCGGAGAACTATCTGTGCTGGTCCTCTGGCTTCATTCCTAACAATGTATGGCAGCTGTTTGAAAGCTCAGCTTTTGTTGGTTGCATAAGACTTGGCAGAGCTGGAGTTTGGCTCCAAACAGATTTCCATCTGAAATTAGCATCTAAACAAATGGAATGATCTGCATGAAGACTCCCTCCGAGATGGAAGAGAAAATGAACTTAACCAGAGATCCAACTTCAGGTAGCCAAGTCTTACAAACAGAAAAGGAAACGGTCTAAATGCACTGATTTTAACCCTTTGTATAAAAATAAGGTGCAAGGAGGGAGATTAGAACAGACACAGACGAAATGTACGGAAGCAGATATGACAGTGTGAGGATGAGGCTCTGGAGCTGAGGCGGAGAAGCAACTGAGAAGCAGGTGGACGGGGAACAGAAGTGGGAGGGAATCTCACCGTGGCGTTCCTGGAAATATTTTTGTCAATGAATGTATTATCTATTCAAAGCATGAAAAATAGAATAAGATTAATTGCCCAGTTCAAAAGCTCAGCCAGCATAATTTAAAAGTCATAGCATCATAATAGGAGTTTGTTCATTCAAACCCATTTATTTACTAGCTGGGGAATCTGGGACCTCATCCGTGATACGAGGAAATGTTGCACACTACTGAGGCCAAGGCAGAGGTTAAGTGAGCTTACACTGTAAGATTTTGTTTGATGCATACAGCACATGTTAAGTACTTCAGTGGTACTTGGTAAGTTATTAGTAGTACAGAAAATATACTAAATAAGTTATTAGTATTATATGAAAAAATATTCTGTCCTTCAAAAAGAATATTTGTCAGCATTTAAGGACAAATAATAAGCTGGAGAAAATATCTGCAAGAAATGTGACAAAGATTGATATTTTAATACATGAAAAGTCTTTACAAATTGCCATGAATCAATTCAATACTAGGCAAAAGAAATTAACATATAACAGACTAGAAGAGAGAGTAGTGATCAATAAACATACGAAAGAAATGAATACCAAAATGAACACCAAACCAAGAGCTGACTTTTTATGACCTTCAGTTTTAGATTTCCCCCCACCCCCAAAGCCAAGTATAATGCTCAGACTTTTCAGGAAGCAATCTGGGGCAATGCTTCCAGAGTCTTTCAAAACATCACACCCTTTGACCCAGTAACTGTATTTATAGAAGACTGTCAAGGAAATAATAACAAAGTGGAAAAGAAATTATTGCCACACAAGCCAGCTTTATTTAAAACAGAAAACAAAGTAATGCTAAGAAAGTCAAAAGATTGATATGTACATACTGGGTGGAAGAACTGATGCTGGAAAAAATAAAGTAGCACTAACGAAAATTCTTAGGATAGCTATATCTAGTGGAAAAAAGCTGGATGCAATCTCAAAGGCACATAATTTGAATCCACCAAGTGCTCCATGGGAGAAAGCTGGACAATTCCTCCCACGTAATTTATAACCTCTGAAAATCTGCTGGAGGGCAAGCTATGCATCAGTTCTGACTCAATGGCACACAACAACAGCAACAACATGGGCAAATGCTCTCCCTGTGTATCATTTTCAGAATCAGCCCAGCTCTACTACAAACTATTCTCAAGGAGAAGCTGGGCAAACTATAGAAAAGATGAGATGTGAGTAGAAGGTCGGCAAAAAAGAGGAAAATTCTCAACAAGGTGGTCAACATAATGACTGCAGCAATAAGTTTAACAGAGGCTGTGAGGATGACACTGGACAGGGCAGCTTACCTGGCTGTTGTATACATGGCCCTATGAGCTGGAGCCGACCCAGGGCACCTAACAATAACTTGGAAGCTTGGATCTACACGTTGGAGACAATGGCATAAGGTGTGCCATGAGATGAGCAAGGCAGGGGCACAGGAATAGAAATCAACACGTGTGATCTGAACCCAGAGGGAAGGGAGAAGGGTCTGGAAGGACAGTGCGAATGTCCGGCTCAGGAGCTGCAGACTTCTTCATGACCAGGTGGAGCTCCTCATTGCTGTTGTTTACCTTCAACCCATTGCCAACCCTCCAACAGGTTTTCAGAGGAAGTAAATTACACAGGAGACTGCTCATCTTTCTTCCATGGAGCAGCTAGTGGATTCGAACCATGTGTCTTTGCCTTGGCAGTGCAATTCCTTACCAATCTGGTGGCCTAGTGGTAAGCAGCTGTGCTGCAATCCCAAAGGTATACTGTTTAAAGCCAAAAGAATTCCCTGGGACTAGTCCAAATTCCAATGGACGGTGGTACTTTGGCACTGGGTAACAGCTGACTCTATTAATTTTAAGTGTCTATGCTCTGTTGGCCTAGTGGACAGAAAGTGATGCTACCAAGCCAAAGGGGTGACTTTTGTGGCCCTCAGGCCCGGTTTTAATTGTTTTTGATCAAACATTCTTCTAAGTGGTACAGCACTGGTTTGTCCATTTGCTGTACAGAGGTAACCCGAGATTGCTGTGATGCTAAACACTGTGACACTGATGTGTCAAATGGGATAATGGTTACCCATGGTGGACAGTGTTTGGTGGAGCTCCCCAATTAAAACAAGCTTGGAAGCAGGAGTGGCATCCACTTCCAAAACAGCTTGCCTCTGGAAACTATGAACCTGGAGAAACGATGAAAGTTATACAAGTGTTCAGGTGTTTCGTTCATAGGGTCACTATGAGTTGTCTACAACTCAATGGCACTTAACAACAACAACAACATATATATGTACACACACAAACCCCAACAAAAACGCCCACAAAACCCTAGGAGTGCTTTTCTATGTTCTCATTAACACATTCATTGTAGAACTATGCCAAGGCCGTGGAAATAAGGAGCTAGATATCTACTATTTTCAACAATAGCAAATGAACTGTTCACTGATCAAGTGGCAAGAACTCACTTGAACTTAAATTCCAGGACCCTGGGACCAGAACTACATGGTACCCAGCTTCTACAGTTGGCCATTCTAAAAGGGATCATAGTCAAAGATCTTGGACAAAGTAGGAAAAATCAGAACAAAATTTAAAAAAAAAAAATCACAAAGGCCAGGCTCACTGGTTCAATGGAGGCTGGTGGAACCTCTGAGATTATGGCTTTTAGATACCCTTTAAATCTGGTCCTGGAGCTCAACAGACAACATATACATGGGGCCTATGGCCTAGTGGGTAAAGAGTTGTGCTGCTAACCCAAAGACAGGTGATTCGAATTCACCAGCTGCTCCAAGACAGAAAGAAGTATGGCCTCTGAAAACCTGTCAAAGGATCAGCTATGAATGGGTTTCTACTCAGCTGCACATAACAACAACTACCAGATGAGCAATAACAGGAAATCACATCTTAGAAAAATCAATCACATGAGGTCAAAAGAACATTTGCTCAAGGATAAACCCTTAAAGGCAGGAAAGGATAGGAGAGACAGATTAATAAAAACTAATTACAGGGAAGGAGTAGGAAAAGCATGCTTACTTTTTTTTTAGCCATTAATGCTATAAAACAAAAGGTATTTAAACAATTGAATTGAAACAATCATTTTTCTTGGTAAATTTTCATTCAATCTTTTGTTTAAAACAACAGAAAATGTGGGAAGAAGACTCAAAAGTCAGCTAGCGATTATAAAAAAAAACAATAGTCCAGATAGGGGAAAAAACCAACCCTTGCTTTGTTTGGATTTGGTTGATTTAAGGATAACAGAGGGTAAGTTACCTCTAATTCATAAACATCACAAAGACAGAGATTAGAGTATCTCCCCTATTGGAATATTAACAAAGAGAAGAATGAAGGTGAGCCAAGTCCATGTCTCAAGAGCAAGATCCTTTACAGCCAGACATTCTCAGTCCAAGAGCCTGATTCCTCTTATTTCAGGGGCAGAAGCCACTAGTGACCCAAATAGAGAGAGAAGCACAAAAATGGAACCTTTGTAAAACTCTTCTAGAGAAAAGTTTCCTAAACCAAGGGTCCTCGTGCTACAAAGTGTCTTCTAGGGAACAGGACCTTCTAGAGAAGAGCATTCATATTCCATTCATATTCCACTTCCAACTGTACAAGCCAGTGGCTTTTAGTTTATTAACCTAATTTGATAACATTTTTATCACCTCAACAGGAAGATCAAGAATTCTTAGACAAGGTGGATGAATCTAGAAAAAATGATTCTCAGTAACATAAGTCAGCCCCAGAAAGGCAATTTTTGCTTAAGACTACTGGTGGACTAGTGGTAAGAAGCTATGCTGCAATCCTGAAGGTACATGGTTCAAATCCACCATCTGCTTCGTGGGAGAAGGGTGGGCAATCTCTTCCCCTGTGATTAACTACCTTAGAAAACCTGCTGGAGGGTCAGCTATGGGTCGGTTCTGACTTGATGGCACACAACAAAAACCACTATAAAAACTTAAAGAAAGGTTTACACATAGCATCAATCTTGGATATTTAAGTTGGATGGGAAAGAAAGGAGAGGGAAGTAAAATGTAATAAATTGATAAACAGGAAGAAAGGAAATAGATAATAATGAGCTGATCAGACAC